CCCCCCTCCGAAGAGGAAGCGAGCCGCTGCGCCGCCCGTTCAGTCAGCTGGAAACGCCGGCGGCGGCCGATCCGCGCCAGCTGCGCTCCGAGAGAGCCGGGCGAACGACGAGGAGCGAGTTCCCTGGCAGCGGAGAGGACAGTCGCGGCGGCGGAGCCCGCAGCCGCCTCGCACCTCCCAAAGTGGGTGAATGACGTGTCCGCGCGTGTGCGTGGGAAGGCGCGCCTGCCGCTTGGATTGGCACAGAGGGGTCCCCGCGGGTCCACCTTCAGGGCTGGACTTCAGGGCGCCCCACAAGGCTGTGTTCGTCCGGCACGGACGAAGCGATTCCTTTTTTAAGACTAGCGAGTGGTGGTGCGTACCAGGCCCGTGTAGTTTAGGGATCGGGGTGTCGCCGTCCCTGGGGACTTGGACGGGCTTAACCGCGGTAAAGTCAACAATTGGTTGGCGTGTCCTGCGACTTCGGTCACAGTAAAAGGGACCATTAGCGGAACGAGCACACACAACCTATGGGCCTTCGACTGGAAATTGCCCGGAATGTGAAAAAGGAAGATTTTCCTGAGCACGTGCAGAAAGTATTTGAGAGTAGGATTCCAAGCGACTTTTTTTTTTTTTTTAATGTTAGTAGATTTGGACGCAAGTAAAAGGTGGTTTGGCGCTTACTTCCCTTCCCTTCCTTTATAATATTTACCAGGTTTGAACGGGAGAAGTCTTCAGCATGGCTCGTCTCGCTAATCTGCTCAACAATCCTTAGCCAGAGGTTTGACTTTTAGTGTGCCTGCTGCAGATAAAAGGGTGGGACTGGGGGGGAAAAAAGGGGCAGCTGGCAGAGGCCCTGTCACTTACCCCATCTGCCTTGAGCATGCAGTTTACATCAGTTTTCTGTTATCTGGTGCCTGCCAGATACAGGTAGGACTACAATTCCATCATTATTTTATTTATTTAGGTTTATAGGCCACAATAATCAGCTGGGGCAAGGTTGGAAAAACCGGTTTTCTGCTATGGTGCAACACAACACTAGTGTGTTTGTTTGTTTGTTTGTTTATTTTGCAGTCATCTTACTGTTCATTTCCAGAAAGAGCGCCAGATGCCTTCTGTCTTATGCAACATGCTTAAGCAATCATATAAAGACTTAGAAGAGTAATTTGCACAACATAAGCTAGCTTCGTGGTAACCTTGGTTTGCATTTTTGGAGACCTAGTGTATGTGCAAACCACTCCACTGAATTTATGATTCGTTGGATTGTGTGAACACAGATGATGGGCCAATTCAGAAACCAGGTTAAGAATGTTGTAGGATGCAACCACGGTTTGTTTTTAAAACCCCTGCTTTTCTCTGTTGCAATGATATCCAAGGTGGATTACAGTTGACATAATAAAGCAATCTAACAGAACAAAAATTAGTAAGAAAGCAACATCAAAACCTGGAGAAAATTTTTCATTCAGGTAGGCTTTTGGTTTTTCAATTAATGCTGAGGTCTAAATGGATTTGGTGTCATAAACATTCAATAAATAAATCAATATTAGAAGACTGGATTAGCTCCTAGGTTTTCATTATAATTTACTGTTTTAGTTTGTCTTACTGTCAGCCTTTCTGAGCACTGCTTGTAATGAAAAAGTAGGATTCCATTTAATTAATTGGATTAATTAATTAAATAAATAAATAAGTAGGATTCCATTTAATTAATTGAAATCCCTGTCTGCGTAAGAAGGAGCAATTAGCAAGAAGGAGCGTTAGAATTTACTTTCTGGAGATCCAGGGAGTAGTTTAACAAAATTGGTCAGAGAGCTATTTTACATGAAGGAGTTTTTCAGTTGTACAGCTTCTCACTTGTAGGAAGTTTTGGCTGTTTGTGTGAACTTACAGAAAGGAACTCACCTCACTTAGCCACCTCCCTTTTCCAGGGTCTTGGGCCAAAATTTCCTTCAACACTACTGTCTTCTACTCAACTGGCTTTCATGCCTAATTTCTCCCCATTGCTAGTCCAGTGCCTTAATGATGAGACCGAACTGGCTTTCTGCTCATTCTTGCTCTCCATGCTGATTGTTGCATCTGAAGAAGGGTTTCTTACAGGAATATTTTGGCAGTGGAATTTCTGGTCTTCATTCTGAAAAGCACACCATATACGTGATCTGTTAGCATTAGTAAATGCTCCATATGGACCCATCAGGTTCCCTGGTCTACCTAATTTTTTAAAAAGATTCTTTTAATTAATTAATAAATAGGAAGCTGGCATGCTGCAAAGCACTAGTCTGTACCATCATTTATTTACAGAAATGCCTACAAAGGTTCCACTGGAGTCCTAGAAGATAGGTTGCCTTTGGGTAAATGATACCCTATGCCTGCCTGTAACAATATGGCGGTCTCAGTCATGGAAGTTCGCTGGGTGAAGGGAAGCGTAAAAGAGAAAGAGGCAATGCAATAGAAGAACAACGGCTATGCATGCCACTTTAGCAACAATTAGCCACCCAACTGAAGATGGAGCACAGTTCAGGCCAACTATCCTCAGGGTGACCCTGAGACAACCTCAGCTTGACAGCAAGTAACCATAAAGCTAAATTAGTTAATTACATCCTTTAATAACATCTTGATTTCAGTACACGATCAAGGTTTATTGCAGAGAGAATGATTGGAGAAAAATCATCTCCTGGTGGGACATGGGTAGTCAAAGTTTCCTTGCTCCGTCTGTCTCAGCACTATTTTCAATTCTACTGAATGTGGAGGATCATTGTAGGGCAGCCTTTTTGAGAAAACTGTTGCTTTGTCAAGGTCAAGCACCATGCTCTCCGTCGTCTTAAATCTGGTCAGCAAATCGGAAAGTCTGTGGTGGCTTAACCGACCTACTTTAGTAGAATGATAAAAGTGCAATCTAGTTTTTATCAGCTGTACCGTTTTACAAATTAGGTTACATGGGAGAGGATTTTGGGGACAAGAAATGCCTCTCAGCATGGAGTCAACTGACAGATACTTTAGGGGACACTGTTGTGTCATATCAAAATCTACATTTGTGTGTGTGTGAATTTGCAAGCCTGCCATGGCAAGCCATTCTATAGGTGTGCTTGCCATAGCCTCTGAACATTTCAGATGTGCTCTTGACCCCCAAAATTTGCTTTTCTCTACTATGTGTGTATTAATATCTGGTTCTGGATGGCTCCCATCCTGATGACATTCAGGAACCTATTAAAGACCTGTGTATTCTCCCAGGCTCTGGGACACAGTAAAGTTTGAGCCCCTGCTGAATGGAATTTCTTTGATTATATGTTGTTTTGGGGGTTTGGGGGTTTTGTATTTCTTTACTTTTAATTGTAAGATGTCCAGAGTTATTGGGAACTGGTCAGCCTGTGAGTTGTACTAATGAATAAATAAAAAGTGATGTTCAGAGGCATATGACAGTGTGCCTGTAAATATATGTACAATCAGCTGAATAGCTGAACATGGGATAATAGCAAAATGCACTAAAATCACACTTACAATCTATTACAGAGTGGAAAATGGAGCAGTGATCCTGTGCTGATCTTAATTAGAAACTTATCAATGTGATTGTTTATGTTACTATTTCCAGCAGCACAACAGTGAATGTCCTTGCAAGGAAATCTCAACAAAAGTCCACATTCAATTGCTTTCCTATACCAAAGCTTTGCAGTGACCTCAGATTGTCAGAATCTGCAGCCACTTACATAGCCCAGAGGAGGACTTGTCTTTATGCATCATTAATAGAGTCTAATGCCTATCATTTCTCCTGGTTAGCTGACTTATTTTATGGGTCCTAAGTTGTGCCAGTCAAGGAGGTCTAACAGCTTTCTTCCAACTAGTTGCATTTCAGATGTGTGGGACTATGATTTTCATATTTCCAGCCAGCATGATGCTTGACAACTATGGCTGGGAAATTTGCGAAGGTTTAGTTGTGATGAAAGTTAAGAAAGGCTGATGTACATATTACTGTGCAACTTTTTTTACAAATGATTATTTTTAAAATGTCCATGCAGCCCTTGAAAATCAAGTTTTATAACATATGAATATCAGAGAATTTAAAAAAAATTAAAAATACAGTAGGTAAATACATATGAATAACAGTAGTTTTAAAGGCTGCTATGTGACACATTTAAAATATTTCTTAGAAACATCTTTCCTTCCTATCCATGATAATGTCTCGAATATCTCTCCCAAGCTTTTAAAAAAACAATTGAATAATGTATGGAGGAACCATTGGCTGGAGAGGAGAGGGGGCAGTGAGCATCAAGGTCTGCTAGATTTCCTGTTTTCCCAGATTCTTCTTTGTTTTTCAACACCTCTCCCTTTTTTTTTAATCAGTATTTTTTATTGATTTAATTTAATTGGTTTTGCAATGTAGGCATGGACTTTGGGAGAATTGGTTCAAATTTTTAGGAACCGGAGCGCTTGACTCAGTGTTACTGTAAAAACAACAGCTTAGATGATTTGCAGACTTTTCAGTGAAAAAGCCACGATAAATGCTGTCTTTGCTGCCTCTCTGACACAGCGAACTATTGCGGAACCCATTCCTTGTCATGTTTTGTTTCGTCAGCTGGCCTAGTAAAGCGTGTTGTCAGCAAGCAATTGCCAGCAATTCCCTTGTGGTTCCTTTCCACAATCTGCCATGTTTTGTTACGAGCATGCATATTGCATGATGCAGCAGGAGCAGGAAAGCCAAGGCTTTATACCCAGATGACTCATTTTATGTCAGTATCCCCTAAGTGGTGACAACCAGTTCAGTGTGTTACTGCGCGCGCTGCCTGCAACAGTACAGAATTTTCCTTCCTCTTCCAGGATTTGCAGAATCTTGAAACAAACTTCGCTTTGATGTAGACCTAGACTCAGGTTCACAGCTTGTCTACTTGCAATCAGCTCTTGAATAGCTGGAAAAGAGGGCTAGAGCCCTATATTCTCCATCACCTGTGTGCTTTGCATGTACATGTACGTGAAATACATTTACGAAGTACGTATACATATGTACAGGCTAACCTTTGTAGGACAGAGTTCTTACAAGATGAGTCACAAAACTATAAAAAATAGAATAAAGCAAATTAACTTGAAGACAACACAAAAATGAGTTAAACTGGCGATCAGTGAGTTTGGGGAGTAGGGAACCCCAACAAATAATACCAATCCTTAAAAGATCTTAGTTGGAGTAGGCAAAGTGTTGCTTTCTATGACCTTAAATCTCCATTTGCATCCTTCCAGCAACCTTTCTGAAGGTCATTGCCCCAAAATTGGTAAACTCATTTCCTACCCTTTTGAAGAGTAAGCCCTCAAATAGATTTTACACACTTAAAAATAAGCGGGAAACCCCAAAGAGAAAACAGCATCCTTATCCGGGGGGGGGGGGGCGGGGTAGAAATACATAAGCCCACCCTGCAACCATGGCTACTCATGCTTTCAGCCATTGCCCCTCCTTATTCTAAATACAGGTAGACCTTGTTTAGCGACCATAATTGGGACTGGCAACTTGGTCATTAAGCAAAGTGGTCTCTAAGTGAAACTGCGACTCTCCTTATGATCTTCCTTCAGCTTTCCTTTGCTTTATAGACCTGCAAAGTTCATAAATGCAAAGACTGGTCGCCAAGTTACTTTTTCATCACTGTTGAATTGCAAACGGTTGCTAAACAAGGCAGTAGCTACCTGTAACGCTGGTTGATATTTTGGGATTGGTGCTGATAAATAATGACCATTTATATCATCTCAGTTTTAACAGCAGGTATATGACAAACAGGAACGGTGTGGACAGGGTAAGGGGGCCAACTGTTACAAGCCAGTGGTCTGTAATGTAATGTTTGAACAAAGCGCCCCATGAATTGCAGGATCCAAATGATGAAATAAACACGCTCTAAATAAAAGCACTGCTGTAGAATCACTATGGGTTATTTGTATGGGAATAACCAACCTTCTCTCTCCTACCTACCTCCAATATTTAGGCTACAGGTGCATCGCCAGAAAATCTCACAGATCCCAACCAGGAAAATGGGAAGAAACCAAATAAATCCCAGCAGTTGAAGAAAATTTTTAAGGAATACGGAGCTGTTGGAGTAACTTTCCATATTGGAATTTCTTTGATGTCTCTGGGGATGTTTTATCTGGTAGTGTCAAGGTAGGCATTATTATTATGGTTGGTTGCATAGTCAGCCAGATGTTTAGACTGGATTTGGCATTTTTATCCACCTATCGAGTCCTTCCCAAGGCCCTGGGATAGGCAGATGTTGTTGTTTGAATTATGGTTGGTTGCATAGTCAGCCAGATGTTTAGACTGGATTTGGCATTTTTATCCACCTATCGAGTCCTTCCCAAGGCCCTGGGATAGGCAGATGTTGTTGTTTGAATTATGGTTGGTTGCATAGTCAGCCAGATGTTTAGACTGGATTTGGCATTTTTATCCACCTATCGAGTCCTTCCCAAGGCCCTGGGATAGGCAGATGTTGTTGTTTGATGGTGTTAAAGGTATCATCGCAGGTTATAAGCTGTTCCAAGTAAAGCTGCCTTATTATTATTATTATTATTATTTATTATTTCATGCTTTGGAGGTTACGTTAGCTATAGGCAAGCTGGCACTATCAAGTTATTTTGGACTTCAGTTTGCATACCCTTCAAAAGCATGGCCAAAAGCAGGAATTGTAGGCCAAGATATCTGGTAGGCACCAGATTTCTCATCTTTAAGAAAAGAGACATGTTGTGGCAAATGAATATAATTGCCTTGTTGGAGCAGAGCAACTGGCAAAAATGCCAGTGGGCGTTTGTAAGAATGATGGCTTTTTTAAATTTATCTCCAACAGTTGGCACTTGAGAGAATTCCTAACAGTTGTGTGAGTCAGTACTGCAGCTCTTATGAATCTTGTCTCATTGAGTTTATAAGATACACTGTGCCTGATTCTGATTATAATCTAAAGCAGGAGTCAGCAATCTGTGGCTCTTCAGAAGTTGCCAAAGTACAACTCTCTGAATTCCTCACTTTTGGCCTGTCCAAAAACATTGAGGGTTAAAATTCAGCAACCTCTGGAGAGCTAGAAGCTGTCCACTCCTCTTCATTTATTTGTTTATTCAATGTATATGGCTGCCTACTTGGCAGGTCATTCTGTTCATGTTGTTTGATCAGCTTCCCCAAATCTGGATTCTTCCAGATATTTAAGACTGCAGTGACAGATGATGATAATCGTAGCACAAAAAAATCTCATTTGGGAGGGCTACTTTTGATCACTGTAAATGAGGTTTGCGTGCTCTCCCTTTCTGATCTTCCTGCATTTACAAAGAGAAAATGAGAGGTCTTCCTTTCATTTAAAAAATTGTTATTATTAAGTAAGATTTACAGCTGACTTTCTCTTCAGGATATTAAGGTACCATACATCACACTCTGATTTTTCTCTTAAAGGTGGGCTATGCCAAAATATCCAGTGAGCTTCCATGGCTGGGGGTGGACTTGAACCCGAGTCTTCCAACTGCTAAGTCCAATATTCCAAACACTGAACTTAGGCCTGTTGGAATTTGGGTAGTGCCAAATTGCTTCAGGCCAGTGAGAGAATCCTCAGTTTTCTCTTCCACCCCTGACTGAAGTGCTGCCAGATTGGACAGCTTTGGCATTGCCTTCAGCACATGCTATGATCACCCAATTTGGAGGACTTTTCACACAAGCAGTTCTGCCCACCCAGGAACCCCTTTAACAGATATCAAAGATCATCCAGCTGCTGCCCTTTGGCAAGAACCACTGGAGTTGGGTGGCTAATAAATCTGAATTAATAATAATAGTAAGGGCTCCAAACAAAATACTCATCTGTACAGCCTTTGCCTTGTTCTGGGCAGGTGATCCAAAGGAGGCTCTGGAGCAGTGTTTCTCAATCTCAGCAACTTTAAGATGTGTGGACGTCAACTCCCAGAATTCCCTAGCCCTGGGAGTTGAAGTCCACACATCTTAAAGTTGCTGACATTGAGAAACACTGCTCTAGGCTGAATGGCTTTGCACGTGCTGTAGGGCTGCCTGTAGTGTTTGTAGCTTGGAAGACCTTTTGTGCATCCCAAGGCCCTTCCAGGCCAGCTGTTCTTGGCACACACAAGTGTTCACTGAAACTATCTAGCTTTGATGCACTTCAGGCATCTTTGGGGGAGAATGTGCTTCTCACCTTTCTCTGCAGGAAAATGCTGTGGGGCTCCAAAGCAAAGCAAGATGAAGGAGCATTTTTGCTGAGTTTTAAAAGGAAGGAGGTCGCATTAGCTTAGGAAGTGTTTTCAAGAGGGTACTTCACTTGAAGCTTTGCAAACTGAAGCCGCCTTCGAAGCTTGACACAATCCTACTCCACAGAACTGGCTTTATTTTGATTCAAGTTACTTAATAAACCAGGATACCAAATCCACAGTTCAATTAGAGATAAAAAAGACCTACCGGTAGTCCTCGCTTAACGACCATTCATTTAACGATGGTTCAGTTACAGTGGCCTTGGAAAAAGTGCTTTATGACCTGTACTCGCACTTACAACTGTCACAAACCATCACACACACCCCTGTGGTCTCATGATTCAACTTGCAACCTTTTTACAATGGTTGTTAAGTGAATCACTGTGGTCATTAAGTGAATCATGTGGTTGTTAAATGAATTCTGGCAAAAAATGTCCATTGGGGACGTTGGATTCGCTTAACCACATGAATTGCTTAACAACCGCGGTGATTTGCTTAACTACCATGGTGATTCGCTTAACAACCACCCTGCTAAACAATCAATTTTCTGGTCCCTATTGTGGTTGTTAAGTGAGGACTACCTGTATTTCTCCATGTTCATAGGAACATGAAAATAAAGGAGAGGCTCACTCTGACTTTTTTTGTAGTCATCTTAGCCATGAAGTAGGCTTCTCCAGACCTGAGGGAAGCACTGGTATAGTTTTCTCCCACGCCTACAAAGTGTTTGCTTCAGATTGGCTGAACCTGAACAGGAACACAGCCAAGATTTACTTTATAAATCAGTCTTTTTTAAAAACAAAATAAAACTAATTTTCATGTTACTAAAATGTACTCTCTCCCTCCTTTTCTCCCTTTTAGCGGAGTGGACATGACCACTGTTCTCTTCAAGCTGGGATTTGATGAAGCCCTTGTGCGATCCAAGCTAGCTGCTGGAACAAGCACTTTTGTGTTGGCCTATGCTATTCATAAACTGTTTGCTCCAGTCCGGATCAGCATCACTGTAATCTCAGTGCCCTTTCTTGTTCGCTATTTTCGGAAGATAGGTTTTTTCAAGCCTCCAGCTCCAAACCCATAATGTTACTCTGTGGAACTATAAAGAAAAGGATGCTCCCTTGTTTCTTCATAGAACCATTTGGAAGCTATTGCGCTCTGGCAGGCCTGCTTGGAACTCCCAAACCTCTCTCAGAAAGGCTGGGGAATGTGCTTTCTCTGAAATCAGTAACTAGTTTAAAAAGGTTATTGTCTGTGTTGCTCAGATACATTGTTAGCTTGCTGAGGCAGAGGAAGAATTATTGATTGGGTATGCTGATAAACATGTCAGGTCAGACCACTGGGTCCTTTAACCCAGTACTATCTGTAAGGAGCAGCAAGGCTTTTTAAGACAATGGGCCTATTCAGGATTGTTCTAGAGTGCAGGACGGTGAAGGACAGGTATAAATCACAAGAAGGCAGGTTCAAGTTGAACATTAGAAATGCTTCCTAAGAGCAGTTTGACAGTGAAGCCAATTTCTGAGAGAAGCCATGATTCCCTTGTTCTGGATGCGTTCAAGCAGATTTTGATTCTTGAACTTAGTAAAGGTATGAACGCTGTAGCTTAAATAGCCCTTTCACTTTTCTGATTCTAAGCCTTTACCCTTCTCTGCAAGCTCATCTTTTAGATAAGGTGATTGAATGTAGGATGACTCTGTGTTATACCACTAAACATTATGTTTCCTTTCATGTACAATGATCTTGTAAAGAAAGGTCAAAGGCATTTTAAACAACACTAGATACGCAAATAAGTGCATGAATAAGCACTAGATTCTAAGGAGTCATATTTCTTGCATTCCAAAAGATAACTTTCTAGCAATTAGTTTTTGGTTAACATGAGCTATTGGACACTTGCATCTGTTGCCCATAATAGTTTGCAGGCGTGGGGGGATTTCCTGCCAAAAAGGTGAAATGGTTGAGTGATTTAATGATAGTGGATAAACGTATTAGCATACATAATGGGGTAGTTGGCCAATTTGAGGATGTGAAGGGAGGGGCAGTTAGAAGCTAGGATTTACCATTTTTCCTGAATTCGGTGTGCTTTGATGTGGAAGGTTTCTTTGGTTCTTTAAATGGTATTATACCTATTTACAGGTTTTATATATTTCTGCCCTCCGTTTTTGACCATCGTAGTCAGAAGAGGCTTCCAGGGGCTGCAAAAACAAAGGCTGGGGGACACAAATTGCCCATCTTGTGTTATAGAAAGCAGCGTCGGGCAGAAACAATGCCAGTGGTTGATGTACAGCAGAGGGAATACAGGAGAAATTATCTGCCAGGGATGAGCTACAGATAATACATGATGATAAGTACAAGAGTAGGTCTTGTAGAACTGTGAGATACCTCCAGCTTCATTTCCTTGCACTTTCAACTATTTTAATTTTTTAAACCCTGGACTGAAACAACACTGCAGCGAATGCAGGAAATGGAGAATGAATTGATAACAATAAAAAAGGGTAGCTTGCTATTCCTTACTGGCACAGCATGCTCAGGATAGATTCCAGTACCATTATTGCATCAACTGGCTTGTAACTGAAACATGTAAACATCTTAGAATCCCTACAGCTAGAAGCCATTGAGGCCATCGGACATAACCCTCCATTGAATGTAGGTATCTAAAGCAACCCTAGTCTAGCCCAGTGTTTCTCAACCTCATCAACTTTAATATGTGTAGACTTCAATTCCCAGCATTCCCCAGCCAGCTGTGGACTTCAACTTCCAGCATTTCCCAGCCAGCTATGCTGGCTGGGGAATGCTGAGAGTTGAAGTCCTCACAACTTAGAGTTGATGAGGTTGAGAAACACTGGGGTAGCCTCTGCATGAGTATATTCACTGAAAGGAAGCCAACGACTCCTAAGAAATTTGTTCCCCTACCAGACTTCTTATCCTTGGGAAGCTTTTTCCTAACATTCAGCCATAATTTGCCTTCCTATAACTTAAGACCTTGCCATTCCATAGAATTGCTTTGCCCTGAGCTTACTAGATACACCATGGAAGTATTTTTCTGGGGAAATTGTACTGTATTAGCAGGCTGTAGTATTTTATGCTTGGTTGGAGGTAATTGGTTTTCTGGGGATTTGAAATGTTAAAGCTGCAGAATGCTATCTATATAAACTAGCTGCAATCTAATAAATAAGTGGATAACCTATTTGCTACTGTTCCTGATAAAATTATTTTCCAAAAGCATAAGAATTAAGTCAGTTCATAATGTAATACTATTTTGTGAAAAAAAAAATCTTGTGAAATAAGATTGAAACCTATTACTTTGATAGATAAAAGTGACAAAGTTCACCTGTGTGCTTTGAATAAAATTAACCAAGGCTTCAGTGAACCGTATTTAACTGCAAAAGCCAGGTAGTTCAACAAATTGGGATGAAATAAAATAATCCAAACCCTGGGATCTATCCCAGACATTAAGGTGATTTTAAATTTATATGAAGTTGCAGGCAGTGGCTCAGTTCATACATTGCTCGAAATCATGAACTTTGCAAGCTGCAAAGGTTACATAGACACAATACACTAAACAAAACTAAAGAGATCACATGGCTTAGCATAGGTGCACGATTCCAATCACTGGGGGATCATTAATCCACTGAATTCAAGAATCAGTAGATATTGAAAAAACTACTACACAGAATAAAGTACAATGTTATAATTATATCTGAAGGGCCATACATGCAATGTGTAAATTAAGCTACTTGTTACAAAAACTTAAATGATTAAATGAAAGTAACTTGAGCAATGTGTCTGCCAAGTCTCAGAATCAGATCAGTTCCATGGGGGCAACAAAGGAAAAAATGCATAGGATTTCACTATTCCAAGGATCACAGCAAAATCAATTTGTACTTCAGCAGAGTATAAAGTTGTCACTTCAAGAGATCAAGCTCACTTCAACATAAAAAATACCTGCTTGCTTCTGTTCACAAGGAAAAGATACTCCCACTTTCACTATTGGCTGTCAGAATCAAACACTTTAAAAAATAATGTATGAGTATCTGGCCATGGATGAAATCTGTAGTGTTCAGAACTATCAGTTTCTAGTGGCAAATCCTAGGGTGAGTGACAGCACGAGTCAACTGAAATTTTGCAGCCATGTATCCTTTTGGTTGGCTATTCTTCTGTTTAGTTCTTTAAATCAGTTGTTCATTATATGCCTTTATTATTGTTGTATTCTAATTACTGAGTATAGCCACTCCTTGTTTAGGAACTATCTTGCGTAGCAACCATACAGAAATAAAAATTCATTTTATGACCAGTGCACATATTTATGATCATATTTCCTGTGCCTGACAACAAAAGCCTTCAGTGTGAAACTGATTACAATCTGGTCAGTTTCAGACAGCAGCCGAGTAAGCTAAAGGATCCTAATCAACTAGTTAAGGTCACAGAGCTGAGCTTAACTTATGGTTAACACTTTTTAGGTTAGCACTGCAGAGAAAATCAGCTCAAGAAGAGATACAGGTAGTCCTTGCTTAATGATCACAATAGAGACTGGAAAATTGGTTAAGCAGGGTGGTGGTGAAGAGAGTCATGTGACTAGGCCCAATTTTATGACCATTTTTACAATGGTCGTTAAGCTACTCCAGTCATTAAGCAAATCATTGTGGTCATTAAGGAAATCCAGCTTCCCCAGTGGACTTTTTGCCAGAATTTGCTTAACAGCCACATGATTCACTTAACGACCTTCATTAAAAGGTTGCAAATCATGATCACATGACTGTGGGGGGGTGCAAGGGGTTGTGACAGTCATAAGCATGAGTACAGGTTGTAAAGCACTTTTTCTGAGGCCATAACTTGTTAAATGAATGGTTATTAAGCGAGGAATACGTATAGCTTGTTTAAGCAAGCTCTCCACCCTGTTGGGGGGGGGGGAGACGGAGGTTAGGCACAGGACACTAAGAGAACTTTATCTAAATGAGGCAGCAGCAACAACCAGTGATCTTCACAGATCTTTCTGTAATGTGTTCACTTAGTGACTCACTTAGCAACCAAGCTGGAATGGAATGTGGTCCCTAAACAAGGAGAAGGTATAAGTTCATACCAGGCCAATGGTGCTTGGTTTAGCATATTAACTTTGTTACATCAAGGCACTGTTAAGGTCAACAGATCTTTCTAGCAGGTTCTATCTTACCACCAGTTTTAAGGAGAATATCACCCAACATTCCTGAATCAAATTTCAAGACCACTTTTAACATATACAGGGAATCCTTTATGTCCATTTGTTCAGTGACCAAAGTTACAGCAGTACTGAAAAAATGGACTTACGACCATTCCTCAAAGTTCCAGCTGGCACAGCATCCCTATGCCACATGATCGCCATTTGCGACCTTCCCTACCAGCTTTCCACAAGCAAAATCAATGGAGCGGCTGGCAGGAAAGTCACAAATTGCTCCAGTGTCCACTAGAGTATGAGATCCTAGGGGTTTCATACTCTATAGCACCTCCCACCCATGGCCTCCGCTGGCCCTCTCACCGCCCCCACCGACCCCCCCACGCTCCTTGCCTAGGACTGCTGCCTCTTCCTGCCTAATGACCCACAGAGTCTGGGGTTATGACACCTACCAGGACTGCTGGGATAGCCATCGCTAAGCGATAAGGTTACATGACATTGCACTTTACAACTGCATTGCTTAGTGATGTCAATCCCAGTCCCAAGTGCTATTGTAACCCCATGACTAGCTGTATTTTGAGAATTGCCTGGAATCAGTACATGCCAAAATAGATGATTTGAAAAGAACAAGGCTTGTATTTTCAGAATCAAACATTGTTTATCTGAACTATACAGGTAGCTTGAAGTCAAATTGTGTGGTTAGTTAAATGTAAATTCTAAGATTTAAGTACCATAAGATGCAAGTAAAAGTGCTGTAGAACCATCATGATTTTGTAATGAAGTTTTACTAATGCTTAAACAAGTACAATATTATATAAGAATTGATGATCAAGATAGTCCCATACAGTTTTTCTTGTAAGAAAACTTAAAATGAACAATTGCACACTATCAAGGATATTCTAGAAACAGGAATGCAAGTAAAAGTGCTGTAGAACCATCATGATTTTGTAATGAAGTTATGCAAGTAAAAGTGCTGTAGAACCATCATGATTTTGTAATGAAGTTTTACTAATGCTTAAACAAGTACAATATTATATAAGAATTGATGATCAAGATAGTCCCATACAGTTTTTCTTGTAAGAAAACTTAAAATGAACAATTGCACACTATCAAGGATATTCTAGAAACAGGATATTCTTGATCACTGAATAAGCAGTTGGGCATCCAAGAACAAGTTGTCTTAAAGCACAGTTATTACTTATAAAGTCTTTATTTAAGAGAGCTTCAAAATGTCTCATAACTGAAGACAGTGACTGCACAGTTAGCACACATTTACTGAGGCAGATTCCATCCACATCACCTCACCACACAGGTTACCTTTAGCCTACAAAATGCAGGCAGTTAGGGTGTTATTGCACTGTTCCAACAGCTTCATGTGACTATCAAGGAGCAAGGAGGATCAACAGAACAGCAGCTATTTATCTGAGAAAGTCCTGGACAAGTTGTGCCTCAGCAGCTCTGGATCGCATGCAAGAAGAGTTCAAGTATGTTTAAGATATTCACAGACTGCTTTGAATGGAACCACCAGCAATACAGCATGCCTGTTAAACTGCAGCTCAGACTTCATAGAGTTCATAGAACAGCTCATCATGCAGGAAACTTTGAGCCCAATCTTATACAGTATTGCCTATATCAGCTGCATTACAATTGTTGCCATCCCAGCTACTTTGGAATTATAATCAGCAATGCATATTATGCTATGACTGAGTTTTGTTAGCAACAGTGGCTTCCACAATTTTATGCTTGGGAGATTTTATAGAGTTTGATGTAACCCATGGATGTTTAAGCACATCGTCCAGCGGTAATCTGTGCTTTGGGTCATGTTTCAAGAGCTTTGAAATCAGATCCCGAGCTCCCTCTGTTACAAAAGGAGGAAATCTGTAGTCTACCTTTAAACCAAAGAAAGTTACAGTTAGAAGAGAATATATGTAGCTCAGGGTTGAATTGTGGAGTCTTTGGGGTTCTCTGAGCTTGGTTGTTTTCTTGCAAATGTTTCATTACCCAGCTAGATAACATCTTCAGTGCTAGCACTGAAGATGTTATCTAGCTGGGTAATGAAACATTT